AGAGAGAGAGAGAGACACGTAGAGAGAGAGATGTACAGAGAGAGAGATGTACAGAGAGAGAGAGAGCGACAGATGTAGAGAGAGACACACACAGATGTAGAGAGAGAGAGACAGACACAGAGAGAGAGACAGAGAGAGCGAGAGACACAGAGGGAGAGAGAGAGAGATGTAGAGAGAGAGAGACAGATGTAGAGAGAGAGAGACAGATGTAGAGAGAGAGCGATGGAGAGAGAGAGAGATGTAGAGAGAGAGAGAGATGTAGAGAGAGAGAGGGAGAAAGAGATGTAGAGAGACAGAAATGTCGAGACAGAGAGACAGACAAATGTACAGAGAGAGAGAGACCGACACAGATGTACAGAGAGAGAGGTGAAGAGAAAAGTGTAGAGAGAGATGTAGAGAGATGTAGAGAGAGAGACAGATGTAGAGAGAGCGAGAGAGATGCAGAGCGAGAGAGAGACAGAGATGTAGAGAGAGAGACAGAAATGTTGAGAGAGAGAGACAGATGTAGAGAGAGAGACAGACAGATGTAGAGAGAAAGAGATGGGGAGAGACAGAGATGTAGAGAGAGAGAGACAGATGTAGAGAGAGCGAGAGAGATGTAGAGCGAGAGAGATGTAGAGAGAGAGAGAGATGTAGAGAGAGAGATGTAGAGAGAGAGAGAGACAGATGTAGAGAGAAAGAGAGAGAGAAAGAGATGGAGAGAGACAGATGGAAAGAGAGAGAAACACAGCGGGAGAGAGAGATAGAGAGACAGAGAGATGGAGAGAGAGAGACAGCGATGTAGAGAGAGAGACAGATGTAGAGAGAGCGCGAAGCACAGAGAGAGCGCGAAGCAGAGAGAGAGCGAGATGTAGACAGAGAGAGAGAGAGAGAGAGAGAGACACACACAGAGAGAGACTGACACAGATGTACAGAGAGGGAGGTGTAGAGAGGGACAGATATATATATATAGAGAGAGAGAAAGAGATGTAAAGAGACAGAGATGGAGAGAGAGAGAGAGAGACACAGAGAGAGAGAGACAGACACACACATGTAGAGAGAGAGAGACAGATGTAGGGAGAGACCGACACAGATGTACAGAGAGAGAGGTGTAGAGAGAAAAGTGTAGAGAGATGTAGAGAGAGAGAGAGAGATGTAGAGAGAGGGAGAGAGAGACACACACACAGAGGGGGAGAGAGAGAGAGACAGATGGAGAGAGAGAGAGACATAGATGGAGAGAGAGAGCGAGATAGATGTAG